AGGCAAACTCTGACAGGTTTGCTCATGTTTCAAACGACAATCGACAAAGTGAACGTCGGAGCTGCTGCAGGGGGCGTCTATATGGGCATGTCACGGCCATTTGCTGAGGTAGAACAAGAGCAGTAGAGTGTTTAGAAAGTGTTGAGAGTGTGTGTGTGCATCTCCAATAAAGAGAGTCCAACAAAGCTGTCGAGGTCAGGTAATATTGTCACGATTAAGGCGACCAAAACAGATGGCGCTGTCAGGAGTGGCTAATTAAGGGCATTGTATCTACACAAAAATCAGCTGTTGGAGGAGACAAATATTATTCTGCCTTGTTTGGGTTTTCCTCAAACAGTTTTTCTTTTGACTTGACAGGTAACAGTGAAAGTTCCAGTACTTTGTTCCTTTTCAGTGAAATTGGCAGCTGTTTCACCGATAAAGCTAATGTTTACGTTAAGTGGTTCGGTCAGTGAGGTCGCACAATCAACGTCTGCCTTTGTGTAAACGTTCCAGACTTCCCCCTGGGCCCCTTACTCCCCCTCACCCTTCAGACCACATAGGCTGTTTTGAGGAATGTGCTTAGAGCCAGCAACAAAACAATATAGTTCAGTGAAAGGATCATAAAAATATCAAGATTGATTATATAAAATCCTTGGTACAACGTAAATAACACTAATATATATATAAAATGTATTTATTTATTTTATACATAACTAGACAAAAAATACGACATTCTTGGATTTAAACATTTGGACCAGATTGAAAAGAAGAGAAAACAGCAAGTAGAAATTACAGACAGAGGGCAGAGCAGATGACATTACACTAAAACTGTGTCAAAAACCCATTAAAATGATTGAGAATTACATATTACACATATAATTTTTACTTATGCCATATTTTGGCAAACAGAAAGATGAAAAGTTTGGGACTGAATTCTTTCTAGCAGCATCCCAGCCATTTAAAATCCCTGGGTGTCATTTCTATCCCTCTGCTTTATATATATATATATATATATATATTTATACCCTGCCCTTCATTATTATACATCATTTGACATTTGTCACTTCCGCCCTAATAATTGTCTTTGTTTAAATCTTATTGAGCGTGATTTTTCTTCTTCTAGTTAATTCTCGCTGTTTTCTTCTAAAAACAATTCAACCTATGATTTGATTTGAGTAAATGCACAAACACAGCCCAGAGTTTGACTGCTTGTTTCCTGTCCTATGCTGGTGCATGTTCATTGTCACAGCCTCGGGGATTTACACTGAGCACGATGGTAGAGGAAGGGTGGAGGCTGCCTCTCCGGCTCACTCTAATCCAGTGTCCTGGGTGGACGGACAGGGAGGGCCTTCTGGAGTAGGATGGTTCTTTGTTGGACCGAAATCGTCCCACCCTTATCTCCCCCGTCAGTGTCTCTCTGCTGCTCCGTCTCTCCCCTCCTTTCTCCCCCCCTGCTACCCCCTCTGTTCATGATTAACTAGACTCATCGCCCTCCGTGGTCCGTCATTTCCTGTTACTTAGTTACCAGTTTCCATGATTTGCCTCGGCTGCCTGTGTTTCCATGGCGACTGTGCCAATTCTGTTATCTCCTGGTTGCCTCTTGGCTGCGCTGTCCCGATGGCCTGTATTCACCCCGGCCCTGACCCACCGCTCTCTCATGAGGTTGTCAGTGACTGTGTGTGTGTGTGTGTGTGTGTTTCTCTTCGTTCTGCCGCCCCTCGCCACACGACGCCGCTCATACAACTTCTGGCTGCTCCGTGTTGTGCCTGAGTGAGCAGACAAAGAGAGAGCTGATACGAGGGACTCCAAAATGCCCGCTCCCTTTTCCCTTTCTGCAGCCGATCGCACACCCAGCACAGCCGAAGTGTACTGAGACCTGCTGTAGAATACGGTAACAAAAAAACATAACACTGGTCTTCAAGGGGCAGTGCGACAACAATGACTCCCTCTCAAACATCACCGTAACCTTCCCATAGGGATAGGGTGCGTGGTTTGTCAGTGTGGGCCACCGAGCTCAGTATTTACAGCACATCAGTCAGAGACTGACACACACTGACGCAGGTCATTACCA